TTGTGTGTGTGTGTGTCTGGTCTAGAGAGAGAGAAAGAGAGAGTTGTGTGTGTGTGTCCGGGAGAGAGAGAGAGAAATAGAGAGTTGTGTGTGTGTGTGTCTGGGAGAGAGAGAGAGAAAGAGAGAGTTGTGTGTGTGTGTCCGGGGGAGAGAGAGAGAGAGAGAGAGAGAGAGAGAGAGAGAGAGAGAGGACAGTTGGTGACAGATGGGTCAGGTTCACACAAAAGTCGCGGCGTGACCAGTTTGCATAAACCACAGGAAGCAGTCCCCCTCTCCAGCGACATTCAACTGTCTTGTTACCCTCTTTGTCTGAAAACAGCTCAGCCTTTTTCTCCACGTGCCCCAGTGCCTGGACCCTGTCGTTGACACTGGACTGTAGGCAGCCAGCGAGGTGGTGGGTGCGAGGTCCTTGGGCCAGAGGCAGAGGAAATAGAACTGGGGATGACGAAGGAGTCAGCGGTTGACCTGGCCTGGAAGCGTCTCTGGGGAGACTGACAGGAGACCGACGGGGTCACTGCGGAGCCTGGGAGATCACAGGGCTTCCGACTCCGTAGTCCCGAGTGGCTCATGCCGAGCTCCGATGCCCGGGGTTCTAGCCCCAGTAGATCCCAACGCAGTCACACTGCAATGGTCCCTTCAGCTCTGTTTCATCCGCACAGTGCCGCTGCAGTACTTGTGGGGCATTTGGTAAATAGGGCTCCGGTCCTCCCCATTTCTCCCTCTAAGTTGTTGGGATGGATTGTAGGGCTGCTGGCACGCTTGCCCCCCGAGCACCACAGATTAGGGCCCGAGGTCTGAAGAATCGTTTTTTCTCTCCCGTATGAGGAGGTTAAAAAAAATTAACCCGGAGGAGGGAGGGGTGGAAGCCGGAATGGGGACGCAACGCATCCATGAGGCCAGTCTTAACTGTGATAAGTTGTGTATATAAAGGTGACGATGATAAATGTTTTTTTTTCCATATTTTTCGCTTTGGTTTTTTTTTTTTTTTGTACACAAATCATTTGTGAGAGGAAGAGGCGGCCGCAAAGTGAGAGCAACTGTCGAAACGAATAGCAACTGTCACTGTGTAAAGAAATCAAAATATTGTTTTATCTTTCTATTTATCTAAGACATAAAACTTCTTACCGATGAATAAAAGTTTATGTTTCATACCTCTCCTTGTTTCCCTTCAGCAAGAATAAGGGTTGCGTCAACCCCGGACTGCCTTTCTTAGGGGCTTTTGAGGCATCTGGAGGCTTTTGACCATCTGGAGCCACTCTGTGGGCTGTCCCAGGCGCTCCAGTCCGGTGCATCTAGAGAGGGACAAGCGCTGAGGTATCTTCATGCAGGAAACACAACATTGAACCCAATGCTTCCTCTAAGCCAGGGGTGTCATACATGCGGCCCGGGGGCCAGATGAGGCCCCCAGAGGGCCCCCATCAGGCCCACAGTGGAACTGGCCATCTCCTGCTTCCAGTTCTGCTGCTGCATCATAGCTTTGCTTTGCCAGACTCTCTTAATCGCTCAGCCATTCCATGTTTTAACCTGGGTCCTAGACTCAGAACTCTGAGCATGAGAATTCTGTGGTGAATGTCGATAAATCAAAAGTAGGTTTGCAGCTTACAGAGCTAATGTTTTAAGCATGTTTTTATTTTAAGTAAAAAAAGAATCTTTGTGTTTGTGTCCTTTATAAAATTTATATGTCCGCTACCTGGCATTACATTTTATGACACACGTGGCCCGGCCCAACAAGGTCTCATTCATGTCAGATCTGGCCCACATAACAAATGAGTTCGAGACCCCTGCTCTAAGCTGTGAATTCTTGTGAGCAAAAATTCTACTTTGTGAGCTGCTGGCATTAAAGTTGTGAGTGAGTGATTTGGCTCCTGCATAAATTAGTTTGCTCTAGAGCCATCCTTCCTGAGCAAAGACAAAAATGTGTGAGCTGGAAGCTAGAAAATTGTGAGCTAGCTCACACTAACTCAGCTTAGAGGGAGCACTGATTGGACACCAAAACTTCTTCTTGGCTTTTCTCAGCCAGCTTCACAGCAGCTGTTCGGCTTGGATATTTGGAGTATGGCAATCCTGATTGTGCCCCGCGTGCTGGGCACTGCGTCTCTCAAGGCCTCCCGGGGGAATATTGTTTTCCTTTACCCACACAAGTCTGCCAAGTCTCATGGTTCTCTTTAAACATCACGAGTGGCCGGGCCTGGAAGGGATTAGGTGGGATTTGTCGCACAGATCCCCTTGGGGGGTTAATGCGGGTGAGGAGATTAAAACCTTTCGTACCGGCCAATTAGGGCTCAAGCGGGCCTTTTTTAGGGTCCGCGAGGAGGGACCCTGTAGGGAAGATGTGACGGGAAAGCGCAGACCTGCTGGAAGTCCAGACTGTCTTTCTCCACCCTCGGCCACCATGGCCCCCAAAACCGTCCTGATCACGGGGTGTTCCTCCGGCATCGGCCTCGCTTTGGCGGTCAAACTCGCACAAGACAAACAGAGGAGGTTCAAAGGTGAGCTTCCTTTCTTTCCTTTTCAAATGAGATTTGCAATATGCAGAAATAGGTTATACAATATAGGTAGCGAACAGTACAGTCACAGGTGGGATTGTCTCCTTCTAAGTCCACTGGAGTCCATGGTTGGGTTGCCAGGTCCTGCTTGGCAGCTGGCAGGGGGGCTCCTGGCTCCTCCTTGAAGATCTTCTGGTGTGCGTGTGAAGCGCCTGTGCTTTGATGACATCACCAGAAGTGAATTCATCGCGTTTCCAATGTTCGGGGGGGGGGACCAGGCCCGTAGCTACAGTGGGGCATTTGGGGGCTCTGCCCCCTTAATTAGAAGCCCCCACCCCACAAATAGCCATGCCAGAAACCTTATTTTTAGGGTTGCCAAGTCCTACCTGTTGCTGCATCGGGGGACTCCCAGCTCAGTCCTGGTGTGCGCGCATGCGCTGCAACTACGTCACCTGGAAGTGACGCGACCACGCCGGGCACACTGAGGGCGGGGCCATGACCATCCGAGGGGAAACCATAGAGTTTTCCCTTGGATGACAGTGGCCCCGCCCCCAGCGTGCCCGGCATGGTCACGTCACTTCCGGGTGTCGTGCACGTCACGTACTTTGGGGGTGGTGTTCCCCCCGGGGCCCGATACGCCGGCAGCGAGGAACAGGCCTCTGGGGCGGGGGTTTCCCCACCCCCGGGGGGGACTTGGCAAGCCTACTTATTTTTGACCACGACCTAGGGGGTACTGGGCTGGCAGAAAGTGGGATTTTGTTGGCGATGTATCGAAGGTGGCCTTCTGAGCTTTCTTGCCTTTAGAAGGGAACTCAGTGCCTTCGGGAGGCAATTCAATGCTCTCTGAGCCATTTCCCCCCCCCTAGGAACTGATGCGCTCGCTGCCCTGTCCCTTGAAAGGAAGGGCTAGAAACAGGCTCGGACCCTCTCCCTTTAAAGACAGGCATTCAGACGAATTTCATTAATGCCCCCTTAAAAATTTAAATGCCCCCTAAACAAAAAAATCCTGGCTAAAGTCCGGGGGGTGGGAACACTTTGGTTTTGGGGCAAAACCCTATGGATTTTTTGGCCTCAAAACCATAGAGTTTCCCCCAAAAAAACCTAGAGCGTCACCCCCGACGTCAGAAATGCCATGACATCACTCCCAGGTGACACCACACCGATGCCAGTGATGCCGGTGTGAGGGGCTTCTCAGGGTGGGGCTTCCCCCACTGGCCAGTTGGGATGCGGCAGATTTATTTATTTATTTATTTATTTATTTATTTATTTATTTATAACTTCAATTTCTAGACCGCCCTGACCCCGGAGGGTCTCTGGGCGGTTTACAGGGTTTCAATGTTACTATCCCTAACTACGGCCACATAGTGAGGGGGAGGGGCTACCTACCGGCACCCTGGGGCCCCCCACATTTGGGGGATCCCCTGGCCCCACCGGGAGGATGGCGGCCCCAGTCAATGGGTTTGGAAGGGTGTAACTCTGCTTATAACTATATTGTGAATCATAAGAAACTAAATGTTCGTATAACTTTCCTCGGGATCTGAGCTCGAACAGACTAGGTAAGCAGTTTTTGGTGAATCGTTTAGTGTTCTCTGCCTGTTTTAGTTTAATCTGATGCAGTTCCTTAAATTAAGCATAATGGCATCATAATCTAATTTCCCCCCAGATTCGTTTCCATCTGAAACCTCTTGAGTTGTCCGACAGTTAGCACATATCACTCTGTGTATGCTATAAAGCAGGGTTGTCAAACATGTGGCCCGGGGGCTGGATCAGCCCCCCGGAGGGCTTCCATCAGGCCCGCAGTGAAACTGGCTGTCTTCTGCTTTTTCTTCCAGTTCTGCTGCTGCTGCGTCATTGTAGGTTTGCAGCTTACAGATACACACCTGAACAGCACACGCAAGATTGCAACTGCACAGACATTTTGATACAGTCATTCAGAGCAAGAGGTGTCAGTTATCAGACACTGTTAAACAAGCAAAATATTGCAAGAGTGATGATGTTTTAAGCACGTTTTTATTTTAGGTTAAAAACACCCTTTTTTGTCTGCGTCCTTTATAAAGTTTATCTCTCCGCTACCTGGCATTACGTTTTATGACACACATGGCCCGGCCCAACAAGCTCTCATTTATGTCAGATCCGGCCCTCGTAACAATGAGTTTGACACCCCTACCATAAAGCGATAGGTTTTAAGAGAAGTGACAGCAGATTGGGAGAGGCCCGTCTTGCCATTCTGTTGCCTCTGATCAAGTAGATTTTGCAGGGGTTTTTTTTTAAAGCCACCAAAACCTAACAAACCATGATCCCACGCACCACAAAAACTGGCACCCTTCAAACCACCTTCTTAAAAAAAACATCATTCCTCTCCAGGCTTGGTGTAAGGCAAGTTCTTCTACCCTGGTGGAAGTGAATATTTCCTCTCCTCCATTAGGGTTTAAGTTGCAGACAGGCACGATTTCAGATTTCCCTGTCAAGGTAAAGAGACACAGTAAGGTGGGGTGAGATTCAGCAAGGTCTGGGTCCCTGTTTCTGGATCCCTTTTTTCATTGCCCTCCCTCCCAAAGCAACGTGTATGCCATTGCAGAGCAGTATAGGGGACAGCAAAGGATGAGATGGTTGGACAGTGTTATCGATGCAACGAACATGAAAGTAAGCAAACTCCTGAGTATGACGGAAAGGCAGGAGGGCCTGGCGTGATGTGGTCCATGGGGTCATGAAGAGTTGGACTCAACTGTGCGACTCAACAACAACAATAACATATATGAGGAGCCACTGGTTATGTGTGTGTGGAGGACTGTATAACAGCAAAAGATAGCTGTGGTCATTGTGCCTTCGACATACGTGCAGTTGTGGGTTTGGGATGGGGCCTTGGGCAAGTCAAACAGTGGCCTTCCTCCATTTGGAAGAGGAAGAGCCTAAGATGGCCTCGTGTGGTGTAGAACTTTGCATTCAAAGTGTGAGCAGAAAAGTCAGGGCTGTCGAAGTCTCGGCCATTCTTGGGCTCTCAAAAATGACTTGATCTTTGTCCAGGGGTCATTTCATAGAAAAAGAGGTGCAGGAGCTCATTTGCATATGCAACACCCCCTGACAAAGGGCAGGCATGCAAGCATGCCTGGGTTGCCTGCCCTATCTTCTCCAGGTGGCCCGCAGCTCTGGGGCACCTGGAGAAGATCGGGCAGAGAACCCAGGCATATTGAGAATGCCTTTGTTGGGGAAGGGAAAGAAAGGCATTTAAATCCCCCCCAGGTGGCGGGGGGGCTCTGCAGGCCTTCCCTGGCCCGTCCACCTCAACAGGTGGGCCAGGAAAGGCGGCAGGCATCGTCGCCCCTGGACTCCTTACTGCTGGAGCGCCGTTCCGGTGCGTTCCAGTAGGAAATGACCCCCGAACAGATCTACGGAATTGGGAGCTAGTGTTCGTGTTGCCGATCTCCTGCTATTACCACTGATCTCCAGGTAATAAAGGTCAGTTCCTCTGGAGGAAATGGCTGCTTTGGAAGGTGGACTCTATGGCATTATGGCCCAAACCCCACCTTCCTCAGGCCCCACCCACAAAATCTCCAGGCATTTCCCGACCCGGAGCTGGGCAGCCTAGCTAGTGTGGTTTAGCACTTTGAAACTCAGTGGGTGTCCTTGGCCTAGGCCCTCTCGTCCAGCCTTATCTGCCTCACAAGGCTCTCGCAAAGGCAAGGTACTCCGTCTAACAGTCCTAGATAGCAATGGAAAAGAGTAAGGGCCCAGTAGCACCTTAAAGACTAACGAAAATTGTGGCAGGGGATGAGTTTTCGTGTGTCAGTGCTTACTTCTAAGAAGTGAGCAGATATGAAGAAGTGAGTCACTGCTCCCTTCTTATCTGGAGAAGGGAGCCGTGACTCACAAAAGCTCCTCCCCTGCCACAGATTTTGTTAGCCTTTTAAGATGCTTCTGGACTCTTCCTCTTTTCTACTGCGACCGACAGACTAACTACCCATCTTGGTCTATCTAGATAGGAATGCTTTAACAGTGCAAGACCACCAAACTAGCCAAATACAGACAGGCAGGGCTTTTTTTGTAGAAAAAGCCCAGCAGGAACTCATTAGCATATTAGGCCACACCCATGACAGCACAGCTCATCAGCATATTAGGCCACATCCCCGTGTTACCAGAAGTCTGCTCACCCAGCGACACCCACCTTTTGCTTCTTATTCTGTTTACCTTGTTTGTTGTCAAAACCCAGGGCCTTTTTTTGTAGCAGGAACTCCTTTGCATGTTAGGCCACACACCCCTAATGTAGCCAATCCGAATGAGTTTCTGCGGTTGGGTGTGGTCTATTATGCTAATGAGTTCCTGCTGGGCGTGGCCAACTTGGGAGCCAGCCGGAACTCCGTTCCTGTGCGTTCCTGCCCCAAAATACCCCTGCTGCTTCTGAAAGACTGCACTCTGAACTTTCAAAGACTGGGACTGGAGTTTGGAGCTATGTTTTAGTGTTGCCAACTGACTGGAAACAAAAAAACAGCCAGGCTTGCTTTTCTGCTGTTCAGTAGAAAAGAGCAAGAGTCCAGTAGCACCTTACAGACTAACAAAATTCGTGGCAGGGTCGGAGCTTTTGTGAGTCAGCTAGCTTCATCCGCAGAAGTGAGCAGTGACTCACAAAAGCTCCTCCCCGCCACGAATTTTGTTAGTCCGATGCTACTGAGCTCTTGCTCTTTTCTACCACTAGTAAAGATAAAGGTTCCCTTCCTCGAAAGCCAGTCGAGTCCGACTCTAGGGTTGCGGTGCTCATCTCCGTTTCCAAGCCGAAGAGCCAGCGCTGTCCGAAGACCTTTCCATGGTCATGTGGCCGGCATGACTAAACACCAAGGCGCACGGAACGCTGTTACCTTCCCACCGGAGTGGTACCTATTTATCTACTTGCAATGTCTTGCTTTCGAACTGCTAGGTTGGCAGGAGCTGGAACTAGAGACGGGAGCTCACTCCGTCATGCGGAACACTCGGGTCTCGAACGGCTGAATTACTGACCTTCCACAGCCTGCAGTTCAGCGTCTTAACCACTTGAGCCACCGCAGCTACCACTACAGACAGACTAACACAGTGACCCATCTTGATCTGCCTTTAACAGCAACTTGATCTGCAGAAATCAGCCGGTGGAGTTTTTCAGCGCTTGGAGACAGACAGGAAAGAGTCTCAGCAGATCTGTTGCTTAAAAGGCACAGTGGGGAAGGTCGGTTGGAAAGTCGGCAGCTTTACTTATGTTGGACACCAGGGAGTTAAAAACGTAACTTTGTCATCTTGGCCATGGTGTTGATCTCTGAAAAATCAAAGTGCAAAATAGATCAGGTTTGGACTGATCCTGATTGTGGCCTGCTGGGGGGTGGGGGGACTTGGGGTGGTCTCTGCCTTCACATGACAACCAGGCGCCTTTGTTGCAGTGATTGCCACTCTGAGGAACGTGGCCAAGAAGGAGAAGCTGGAAGCGGCTGCCGGGCCTGCTCTCGACAGGACCCTGGAGATCAAGCAGCTGGACGTCTGCGATGAGCGATCCATCCGCAGCTGCATCAACAGCATCCCCAACAGGCACATCGACATCCTTGGTGAGTCCCCAAAAGAATCAGCATCACTCAGCAGCAGTGCTCCCTCTGAGCCGTCGAGTCTTGCGAGCAAAGATACTACTTTGTGAGCGGCTGGCATTAAACCTGTGAGCGAGCGCAGGGCTTCTTTTGTAGAAAAAGCCCAGCAGGAACTCATTAGCATAATAGGCCACACCCCTGACAGTGCATCTCATTAGCATGTTAGGCCACACCCCTGACAGTGCATCACATTAGCATGTTAGGCCACACCCCTGTGGCTTCCCTTGGCTTGCCTGGGCAAGCTGGCCCTTGGACAGGCTGGGGAAGGCATGGGGAGGCATTTAAATGCCTCCCTGATCCTTCCAGGCCCCCGGCCCGCCCACCTCGGAGTCGTCGGGGGGTCACTCTCTAGGCCTTCCCTCTGTAGCCACGCATGCAGATATTTTGGCTGTAGTGGGCGTGGTCAGCTCTGAAGCCAGCCGGAACGCCGTTCCTGTGCGTTCCTGCCCAGAAATAGCCCTTAGCGAACGATTTGGCGACTGGATAAATCAGTATGCTCTGGAGCCATCCTTCCTGAGCCAAGGCAAACATGTGTGAGCTGGAGGCTAACAAGCTGTGAGCTAGCTCATACTAACTCAGCTTAGAGGGAACACTGCTCAGCAGCACCTGGAACCACAAGGGTGTGTGTGCAGGGGTCATTTCCTGCAGGAGCGCACAGGAGCGGCGCTCCGGCAGTAAAGAGCCCAGGGGGCGGGCACATGCAACAAGCCCCATCCCCTGCTCCCAGCAGCCCTCAGTCAGAGCAAGAAGCAGCCAGGTAAGTTGCAGAGCTCCCCCGGCCCCCCCCCGGTCCAAGACAGTCCAGTGGCACCTTTAAGACCAAGTTCTATTCAGGTACAAGCTCTCCCTCCTCTGCAAGGACAGATCTGGACGTTCCCCCCCCCCCACATTAGCTAGCAATCCAAAACAGTCCAGTGGAGCCTGAGTGGTGGGTGTTGCCTTCTGACACACTTCCGGTGATGTCAGGGGGTGTGACATATGCAAATAAGTTATGCTAATGAGCTCCTGCACCTCTTTTTCTACGAAATGACCCCTGGGGGTGTGTGCATAGTTTCCACATGGGGCTTTGCCCTGCTTTGGCCTCCAGATTGAAGCGGGGCCGGAGCTGGGGTTTATTGAGGGTGGCATCCACACAAGGTCATTCATTCGCTTTCCAGGATCTCCCTTTCTTTGCTGTGGTCTTTCCTGGAACAAGGGATGCCAGCCTCCAGGTGAGACCTGGGGATACCCCGGAATTACAGCTCATTTCCAGACTAGATAGATCAGTTCCCCTGGAGAAAATGGGATTCTCTGGAGGGTGGACTCGGTGGCCTTGTACCCCACTGAGGTCCCTGTTGTCCCCAGGCTCCATCCCCAAACCTCCAAAAGTTTCCCAGCCTGGATCTGGCAACCCTACCAGGCCCATAGGTAGCATTTTGTGGCTTGTGGGGAAATTTTTTTTCTGGTGGGGCTGAAGTTCCCAGTGCAGACAGAAAAGTAATTGAGCCAATAGAAAGCTGTGACCAGGATAGATTGCAAGCTGTCAACCACTTGAGATGACAGTTCTCAGCTGCTGCAAGTTAATCACTTCTGCCAGCCTAAGCAGCAGTTCTGAGAACAAGCCAGCAGGTGGGGGGATGACTTCTAGAGTCAAGAAAGCTAAAGGAGGCAAGGTTTTTTTGACACAGAGTTAGAAGGGATCCTAGAGGTCACCTACTCCAACCCTCTTGCTCAGTGCAGGAATTAGTCAACTACAGCACCCCACTGTGCTTAAAAGAGTGCATGCCTTTTAAAAAAATGTTTAAAATGATTGAAAAAAGCATTTGCAGGAGAAATCCTTGTGGGACTGTGCCTTTAAGAAAAGGGGGCAGAGTTCCCCGAAGCCCCACCGTAGCGACAGGCTTGAACCCTAACCTCCCAACCCCCCTGATGGCCAGGGGAGATCGAGGAACCCTGTCTAAGCTGGTCTGATATGATATGTTTGGCAAGATTGCCATCAACGCCCTTTCACGCACTGTCTGGATGGGAAACAGTTTTGAACACCCACGTTGACGCCATTTGCCTTCCCTTGAGCCCCCACTGCTTCCGTTTCCTCTCTGCCCCTAGATGGCTTTGGGGGACTTTGGGGGATTCAGAGAAACAACGAGAAGATCGACACAACAGACCATTATAACGTTGTAGCATCATCAGAGGTCATTTCCTAGAAAAAGAGGTGCAGGAACTCACTTGCACAACTCATTTGCATATGCCACACCCCCTGACACAGGGCAGGCGTGTTTAAAATGAGTTAAGGCATATGCAAATGAGTTTAAATCCCCCCCCTTCCCTGAGCCTCTCTGCAAAAGCGGAGGGGCTCAGGGGGAAAGGCGGGTATGTCTGCCTCCCTGTCATAAGAACATAGATGCCAATGTTGGATCAGACCAGAGGCCCATCCAGTCCAACACGCTGTGTCACACAGTAGCCAGAAATACCAGGGGCCATCAGGAGGTCCAGCAGTGGGGCCGGGACATTAGAAGCCCTCCCACTGTTGACCCCCCCCCCCAAGCACCAAGAGGACAGAGCATCCCTTGCCCCAGAGCCCCTATCTATACCTTGTGGCTAACAGCCACTGAGGGACCTCCGCTCCACATGCCGTCCATGCTTGTAGCCGCCACCACCTCCTGTGGCAGTGAATTCCATGTGTTGATCACTCTTTGGGTGAAGAAGGACTTCCTTTTATCCGTTCTAACCCGACCGCTCAGCAATTTCATGGAGTGCCCACGAGTTCTTGTATTGTGAGAAAGGGAGAAAAGTACCTCTTTCTCTACCCGCTCTCTCCCATGCATAATCTTATAAACCTTGATCATGTCACCCCTCAGTCCTTGTTTCTCCAAGCTAAAGAGCCCTAAGAGCCTTAACCTTTCCTCATAGGGAAAGTGTTCCAACCCTTTTATCATTCGAGTTGCCCTTTTCTGCACTTTTTCCAAAGCTATAATATCCTTTTTGAGGTGTGGTGACCAAATGAGGTTGCACCATTGATTTATTTAGGGGCATTATGATATTGGCTGATCTGTTTTCAATACCCTTCCTAATATTCCCCAGCATAGCATTGGCCTTTTTTATTGCAGTCCCCCCCGCCTCCCTTCATGGTTTCTGGATAGGGTTGCCAGCCTCCAGGTGGGGCCTGGGGGTCTCCCACTTTTACAACTGATCTCCAGCTGACAGAGATCCGCTCCCCTGGAGAAAATGGCTGTTTTGGAGGGTGGACTCTATGGCATCGTACCATGATGAGGCCCCTCCCCTCCCCAAACCCCGCCCTCTCCTGGCTCCACCCCCAAACCATCCAGCTGTTTTCCAACACAGACCTCGCAACCCTACTTCTGGATATACTAAGGATGCCAGCCTCCAGACAGGACCTGGGGATCCCCGAGGATTACAGCTCCTCTCCAGATTACAGAGATCAGTTCCCTTGGAGGAAATGGCTGCTTTGGAGGGTGGGCTCTGTGGCATTGTACCCCAATGAGGTCCCTGCCCCCCCCCAGTCTCCACCACCAAATCTCCAGACGTTTCTCAGCCTAGATCTGGAAACCCTACCCTACCATCCCCCACCGCTAGCCAGGGGGACCTGGCAACCCTAGGTTGTACTCAGGGCTATTTTTGGGCAGGAACACACAGGGATGGAGTTCCAGCTGGCTCCTGAGTTGGCCACGCCCAGCAGGAGCTCATTAGCATAACAGGCCACACCCAACAGCAGAAACTCATTCGGATTGGCTACATTAGGGGTGTGTGGCCTAACATGCAAAGGAGCTCCTGCTACAAAAAAGGCCCTGGGTTTTGACAACAAACAAGGTAGACAGAATAAGAAGGGAAAGGTGGGTGTGGCTGGATGACCACACTTCTGGTAACATGGGGGTATGGCCTAATATGCGAATGAGCTGTACTATCAGGGGTGTGGCCTAATATGCTAATATTTATATTTATTCATTTATTTATTGTATTTCTACCCCGCCCTACCCCGCAAGCGGGCTCAGGGCGGCTTACAAAGGCATAAGCCCATACATAAAATTTATAAAATCCAATAAAATCACAAAATCACAATCAACATACCATTAATAATAATAATAAAGTGCTTTAAATTCAAGATGGTCTGCAGTTGGCACCTGCAGGGAATGACCCCTGCAGGCTTTAGTCGTAATGATATCATCCTAGCGGTATTAGTCCAAGCTAAACGGCTGGTCTCGTTGCTGGGCTATCAAAGGCGCTCTAGCTTGATGTTCTTCCATCATTGTTGTTGGTGGAAGCGGCGGCCCCTACATAAAAGCCTGGTGGAAGAGCTCCGTCTTACAGGCCCTGCGGAATTGCAAAAGATCCCACAGGGCCCTGATCTCCTCCGGGAGCTCATTCCACCAGGTAGGGGCCGCCACTGAAAAGGATCTTGCCCTTGTTGCAGCATACCGTACCTCTCGGGGACCCGGAACCACTAAACGACTCTGGGTTTCCAACCGAAGTGCTCTTGGGGGTGTATACGGGGAAAGGTGGTCCCTCAGGTAGGTCAGACCCCAGCCATATAGGGCTTTAAAGGTGAGTACCAGCACTTTGAAGCGGATTCGATATGCTATAGGCAGCCAGTGCAGCGCCTTTAACCCAGGCTTGATGTGCTCCCACCTGGGGAGGCCCATCAGCAGCCTAGCTGCCGCATTCTGCACCAGCTGCAGCCTCCGGATCAGCAACAAAGGCAGCCCCATGTAGAGAGCGTTACAGTAGTCTAACCTTGAGGTGACCGTCGCATGGATCACTGTAGCCAGATCTTTACGGTCGAGGAAAAGAGCCAACTGCCGAGCCTGCCTCAGATGGTAAAATGCAGACCTGGCAGTGGCTGCTACCTGGGCCTCCATTGTCAAGGAGGAATCCAGGAGCACTCCCAAACTCCTAACCTCCGACGCAGGCACCAAAGGTACCCCATCGAAGGTCGGGAGAGGGAGCCCTAACCCCAAACCATTCCGACTCAGGCCCAGGACCTCTGTCTTCGCTGGGTTTAATTTCAACTGGCTCAGCCTGAGCCACTCAGCCACAGCCTGTAATCCCTGTTGAAGGTCTTCCGGGTCGGAGCC